CCAAAGGAACGAGAAACGCCAAGAGAGAACAACACGCTCGAGTGTGTATCTTCACAAGCTGTTTTAGGGCCCTTATTTAGACAGAGCACGCATGCACGAAAACTAGAGAGCAGTAAAAACACCACAAATGCCACTATCAGAAATTTGAATGCTGCAGAAAAGAAGGTGAAGTGATGCATTTTATGGCCAGATTCTCTGCTCGGGTAAAAATAAGAGAAACGACGGTGCGCCACAAATTAATGTGCGGCAGTGGCGGCGACGTGGTCTCTCTCAGAACTTCGGTGACGGCGCAAACGACGTGAGGAAAAACAGGCGGCGGCGGCGCACAGCTCTACTCGGTTACAGTGTAATGACGTTAGGGCTTGCTAAGAGAATGGCTTTCGTACGCTACAACATGTTCTTTGTTGCCAGAGCGTCGAATGAGAACGGCCCCAATGACGAAACCACTTACGTCTGTGTGAATCTCTGTTGCAGACAAAGGGTCGAAGTGCTGAAGCATTGGCTGAGAAGTTAAGAGAAACTTCAGCTGGCGAAAAGCGGCATGACACTTAGGAGTCCACTGAAAGGCAGTGCTCTTGCGTAGGAGATTTTTCAAGAGGTAGCATATATCCGCAAGCCTGGGTATAAACCACTGGAAATATGAGCAGAGCCCTACAAAGCTACGAAGCTGTTTCACAGACTTAGGTCGTTCAAATGATGCAATGGCTGCTGTCTTCTCTGGGTCAGTTCTTATGCCATCTTTATTCACAAGATGTCTTAACACTAAAATTTTCGGCTCTGCAAAATGCCATTTTTTAGAATTCAACACAAGCCCAGTCTTTTCAATACAGCCGAGCACGGTATCCAAACGAGTGTTGTGCTCATGAAATGAGTGCCCAATAATGAGGACATCATATAGGTAGCACATGCAAATATGCCATTTCAAACCCCGCAGTATAGTGTCCATGAATATTTCGAATGTTGCAGGTGCATTACATATTCCGAATGGCATCACGTTGAATTCGTGAAGGCCATCTGGGGTAACAAATGCTGTTTCTTCCTTGTCAGCTGCGTGCATGCCAATAACTGTGTCTTAAATTAACGGAATAAAAATAGGGAGCCGAACATAAACAGTCTATGGTGTCATCAATACGTGGTAGCGGATAGACGTCTTTCTTGGTAACGAAATTCAGGCAGCAATAGTCTACACAGAATATTCACTGACCATCTTTCTTCTTCGCAAGAATGACTGGTGCAGCCCAGAGACTCGCGGATTCCCGAATCACCCCCTTCGTTAGCATCTCTTGCACTAGGTCATTGATAATCTTGCACTCTGATGGTGCCCCTTTGTAAGGTGTTCGAGGTGTTGATCTGATGACGTATTTGAGAAGCTGAGCTTGAAGACATTTGGCTGCTTTTGGTGAAGTTGAACAGCTTAGCGTGCTTGAAGAGGACGTCGAGAAGGGCGCTATGTTCGCTTTGGTTTAGTGACTGGCTGATCATTTGCAGGAGTTGTGAATCTTCTGAATGTTGAGAGGCTACATGTCCGTTCTTGCCTGCATCATCAACAAGTGCAACAAATGTCGTAGAGGATTCGGGTTCAGATACAGCAAGGTTCATGCCTCAAGGAAACACTGCAGGTTCCATTGAAATGTTAATTGCCCACACACATGTGCTTCCGTTAACTACCGACACCACACAATGGGGAACTAAAATGTTCTTTTTCACTCAGGCCAAATGAATTGGTTCGAGCGTGACATTGAACATGGCAAGGTCTTTAGAAGCGCAAGTCAGTGGAACACACATGGCAGAGCAGGCAGGAATAACCGTGTCCACGTGCAGTCTATCACAGGATGAATTCTTCCAGAGTGCAGCAGGAAATCCAACATGTATGGAAAGATGCTCACTTCTGCAGTCAACTGTTGCTCCACACCCCCGCAAAAAGTCTATGCCCAAAATTACATCATGTGTGGATTGCCCGATTACAGCGAATTCTGTGGGAAAAACTTTGTCGCACAAGGACACATTGGCAGTACAAACTCCCACAGGACACAACATGTCACCACTCACACCATGGAATGTCACACCACTTTTGAAAAAACACATCACCTTTGGCCCAAGAATGTTTTTAAAACTTAAGCTCATCATACAAATAGTTGCACCTGTATCTACAAGGGCCATGGTAAGCATAACATCAACAGGCACGTGAACTTTGTTTTTTAGCATGCATACTGATGGAGGAATATCTTTTAATAGTGCCCGGGATCCTGCGGCCTCACCCCCATTGGCCGCACTGACTAGTTTTCCAGCCGTGATGATTGCGTGCGACGCCACGGCGATGGGCATTCTGGAGCACGTGAAACTGGTGGCAGAGTCAGGCTTTGATCGGAGGCCGGCGATGGGTAGCGCGAACCAGCAGGTGTGCTTGATGGTCCTGGCTTGAGTACCAGTAGTCAAAGGCTGGGTAGCCACGGGCAACTGATCTCGCTCGTATGAAGAAGGGAAGTTGCAAAAATGCGATAAAATGCGATATATGGTCTGCGACACTACAGATGTAGCACATAGGGAGAGGTTAAGACGCTCGTGGCTGCTCAAAGTACTCAGTCGTCTGAGTAGGCCTAGGATGGTAGTAGCAGTCTTCACGTGCGCTGTAGCCAGCTGAGATTTGCTGAGAGAAATGAGGTGGACGCAAGCAGCGTTCGTCATTGAAGGGCAGCCGATACGAGAAACCAGATTGCCGTGTGCCTCTGTAGAATTTGTGGGGATCTGCCGAATTAACCGATAGTTGTCATGGAGCTATAGAAGCCGGAGGTCATGCAGGTTGTGCGTCTCGTACATAGCCGTCCTAAAAGCTGCTGGGGCCTCAAGAGACGTGAGAGATTCACTGACGAAGCAATTCTTCCCTTACAATCTGCCGGATACGCGTGGTCATCCATCACCATGGTGTCGACATTAGCCACCGTAAGGACGTTGGATAGGCGGCTCAATTTCAGCGCTATCGATTGCATCTTTAGCGTTTCAAATGTGCAACAATGCCTCACCACATCAAACATGGAGGTCAAGCTCCCTTTTCCAATTAAGAAATTATACACACCTTCCGCTATACCATTAAAAACGTGTCCAACCCTATCCTCTTCAGGCATCCCGGCACTCACTGTGTAGCAGAGGTTCAATATTTTTTCAGTGTACGTGGTACATGTCTCTTCTGGAAGCTGTGCCCTCTGAACCAATGTGTGCTCTGCCAGCTTCTTTTTCACGTTGGAATCACCAAAGCCCTTTACTTCTTCGACAAAATGATCCCAAGATGTAAACATGTCTTCGTGGTTTTCATACCACACAAGAGCTGTGTCAGTTAGTGAAAACACAACATGGCTGAGCTGTTCTGTCATGTCCCAGCCATAGCTTCAGCTCACCCTCTTATATTTCTTCAGCCAGTCCTCCACATCCTCTGAAGATGTCCCGCCAAGGTTCAGCAAAACCTGCTAGTATGGCAGAGAAGCAATTGGTGTCGCCCTCGAAGCACTGGAGCTCTGGTGCTGGGACATCTCGATAGGCGACAGTGGGAGTCTGGCAAGGCGACGGGTGCCGCGAAGTCCTGGTACTAGTGCCTCCGTTGTCGAGTTGGTTGTACCCCGAACCTTCTACCAATATGTTACTGTACACACAGCAAAGGTTTAAACGGGGAGTTTAATGAGAGCGGAGGCACGAAAGACCATGGTGATCGCCGAAGCAGCATCGTGGTTCCTCTCTTCTTCTCCAGCTTCCCTCAGTTTCCACTTGCAGGTACACTTCATTGTAACAATATAAAAGAATGCACTAAGTTTCGCAACATAATGCTGTTGACAGAGGGCCAATATTTGCAAAAAAAAGAGGGAAGCCATGAAACTAGCCACCTCAAACAATAACACCATTACTGCTATAGCTTTTGTGCCAGATAAACAAAAAGAATATCCAGTCAACAACATGCATTTGTTTCACTAATGATATAGCCTTTTCCCATAAGAATCCAGTCTAAGAAAGCCAATCTACAATGCTAGTTTTGCAGCAGGTGATTTAGAGATTAATTAAAGAGAGTGTTAAATTGAAAAGCAACAAATGTTAACTCATACATGTTACAGACAATATTATTTCTAGAAAAACATTTTGGAACATGTGCTGCATATACAATGTAATCTGTAAAGTAATCAATGATGTTCTAAATGGAAGTGTGCACGCATGACATGCATGCATGGACGCACACAAACATACAGATACACATACACAATCTAAAATGTCACAAAACCTGAATATACTGAGTATGCTAATCAAAATAAACTCAATGATTGGAGTGGTGAAGACATGTTTAAGAAAAGAAATGATAGCCAATATTGATGAGTGTTCAAAGATCTGTGGCCCATTCTGATGTAACTGGAGTAAAATTAAAACCAAAAGATAGACATGAAAAGATGCCTTTAGTGAATTAGCATGATGTAAAAACATTGGTTTATGCACTCTTAGATAAGTATTGAGTATTTGCCTGTTCTTTACCAGCACTATGCGAATTGCGAGCTATAACAAAACCTGAAGCTTGATCTACCATTTAAAAGCTCTTCATAACTCTAATGTTGCAAGGCGTGAACCAATGTACTAAGCACAATATCAAAATGCAACATGCATAAAAAAATTCGCTTTTTGCCTCTACATAGTGGGCATGATTATCAACGTCTGGAGGCACATCGCAAGCCTCCTCCACTCTTACTGAATGGACCTCTTCGTGGGCCGCACAGCAGCTATCAGGATTAAGTGTAAAAGCTTATTTTAACCAAATCAAAGGATTAAGCAGATCTGCAGGTCAGGCCCACACGATACAGATACACACTGCTCCTCGCTGTCACATCAATGAAATAAACTGTGCGACAGAAAAAGAACACCTTGCTTTCATAATGACACTAATCTCTGAACGAATGCAAATCTCCGGTTGTGAACCCATCAACATCCTGGAAGAAAAAGTGCACTGAAAAGCATCCATAAGGTACTCTTACCTGTCGAAGGCCATGAACACCACAGGTGTGAAAGTCCCCACAGGGCAGCAACCATCATGCAAAGTGGCACGGCATAACTTTCACCAGCCAGCGTCAAAAGGAACAGCAAAGCAGATGCAGGCAGCAGGCTCACAATGCCCATAGGTGAGCAGGGCATGGCCCAACCAAGTAATGCCAAAGCTATGCTGACTAGCATGGCTGTGTTTGGAAGCAGCTCCTGAGTTGGAAGACAAAATCGCTTGAGAAATTCATAACTCTTTGCTACAATAGAAAAAATTCCCACTCAAACATGGATATCAATTAACGAGGTGCTGAGATGGGCAAGCTGAAACAGCTGTCATGATGGTGACAAGCACACTAAATGAGTCAGGGACCAAAAAATCTTGATCACTTATAGGTTTCTTTATCTGATTTTTTTAGTGTGATACCTACCATCATGACAAACATCAATATAGTCGGGAGAAAAAATTAAATAAAAATTCACAGTCAATTATCAAATACCATTTTCTTATACTTAAACAAATAAAATACAAAAGTAGTATGAGGATCAAATGACAAAATAAATGTTTACTACATCCAACCCCATTATAAGAAAAACTGATATAAGAGACAAATGGGTGTAAGAGACACCAGTGTGCCTACAGTAAAATACGGGTTGATAAGAAGATGTATACAAGGTCCTCTGCTCATAAAAGACATCCCATATAAAAGACAAGAATTGCTGCCCAAAGCATGCCTCTTATAAAGGGGCAAAATGTATTTCATTTCCGTAATTCCACTCACAACTATATATCATGTATGGTGCATCAGTTACAGCAACAATATAGGAAGATCATGTTACTAAATGGATGTGTTGTGCTATGTTTGACAGAGTGTAATGCGAGAGCATTGTAAGTCAGTATAAAGGGATACAAATGTGGTTAGAATAGCATTACCCGAATTAATTCAACTGAGTCAACAGTCTGCTAGAAGCTGAGGCATCATTGATGAATAAATTAATATTATTGCACAAATTCAACTGTTCGATCTGTAGACTTTTGAGCAGCTGTTTTTGAGACTTTTGAGTAGTAGCAACAGTTTTTTTCAGTACAAAATAACTTAAATTGATCAGAATTCACAGCTCTCTTTCTCCCTCTGGAAAACAAAAAGCTATCTTTCATGGATGAACACAAGTAAATTTTAACTCTGATGAAAGCAGGCCCTCCTGTCAAAACATTAGTAAAGATTGTGCTTCGTTCGTTTGTCCTCTTTATTTTTCCGACTGTGCTTCCTACTAGAACCATTGAACTATATATCTATATATATTCAGCAGGTTAGTTGGGCTATGACAAATGTGCCCATTTTTCTTTATACAGTTAAACCTGCATATAATAAAATTGATAAATTCCCCGAAAAATTTGTTTTGAAGAGGATTTCGTTATTTGCAGCTTCAGTACAAAAATTCCAAAAATAAGTGCGCAAATTAAACAAAAAGAAGACTGAAGGCAAAGCTAACCCAAAACACTTATTTTACAGTAAAAACTTCATTATTATTGCGATATAATTTATATGGAACCACTCGGCGGGCTTTTGCCGTCGCCACCATGTTCTGTAACAAGTCTTAGTTGAGGTGATGAGTGGGCACGGCGGCAGCGTCAGAATGCCACCTAACAATCCGCTTCAATTCTTTATGCAGACGCTCCTGATTCTGCTGCTTCAAAGAACAGAACTGATGGTTCTATCGATCACAGCTGCGCAGCAAATATGGCTTCCGGACGTCGACGGCGCAGCTCGTGAAGTTGCAACCAACTTCTCGGCCTTTGAACTCGTCGTTGGCAGCGCCCAGACCACCTCAGCCTCTCCCCTGGAAGATATGACTACGCCACCAGCGTCAACGCTCCTGATTCTGCTGCTTCGAAGAACAGAACTGACGGTTCTACCGGTCACAGATGCGCAGCAGATATGGCTTCCGGACATCGACGGCGCAGCTCGTGAAGTTGCAACCAATTTCTCGGCCTTTGAAATCGTCGTTGGCAGCGCCCGGACAGCCTCAGCCTCTCCCCTGGAAGAGATGACTACGTCACCAGCGTCAGTACGTCTGCTCGGTATAAAGCTGGCGCACCACGCATCGCTCGGCAGTGGGCACAGGGGCAGCGTCAGAATGCCACCTAACAATCCGCTTTAATTATTTATGCAGGTGAGAAAACATTTCGGAAAATGCTTCCGCAGTAATAATGTATTTCTTATTTTGCTGCCGTGCCCACGGCCATTGTGCGACCTGGTTTGCAATGTCTGTGCAACTTTGAGGTTCTTGCTGCTTATGGCTGGAGATGTAGAGTCCAATCCTGGTCCCGAATTCGACGAGTTGGTAGAGCAGCTGAAACGAATTGCAGGTGATATCAAAGAAATTAAGGCAGCTAAGGGCAAATGATAAAAAGCTTGAGAAAATTGCTAGCCTTGAGATCAAGGTAACTGACTGCGTTAACAGAATAGCTGACCTTGAATGCAGTATGGCAGTTATGGCTAAGAAACTCGATGACCTGGAAAATAGAAGTCGGCGCTCTAACTTAATTGTGTACGGTGTCAACGAACAAGAACACGAGTCGCCTGAAAAACTTGAAACGGCTGTAGTCAAGGAAGTTTTCAATAATGTGCTTGATGTCAAAATATCAGGCGTTGAACGTATTCATCGTCTTGGTAGGGCAAAACAGGGTGACGAGCCAAAACCTAGGCCTGTCATACTGAAGCTTGTTGACTACCGAGACGAAGCCAACATTTAGAAAAACTGCTCCAAATTGAAAGGCTCCTCAATATCAGTCAGTGGAGACTTCTTCCAGCCTGTCCAAGAAATTCGAAGGAAGCTATGGGCACACACGAAGGAGAATCGAGACCGGAAAGAGAAGGTTTACCTTGTATATGATAAGGTTGAAGTAGAGGGCAGACTGTTTTCATGGGACGAAAGTTGCAATAAAATGGTAGCTATCCCAAAAAACAAGGAGACGGTAACGCGAAAAAAAAGTACCAAGCGAAGCCAGCAATAAAATGGGAGCTATCTCAAAAAACGACAAGGAGACTGAAACGCAAAAACAAGCACCAAACGAAGCACGTGCAACGCGAAGCCGCAGTCGGCAACTCTTATAAACTTGAATGCTCGCAGCATCGTCAATAAAGTTGATCAGCTTGAAGCAATACTCCTCGCCCATTCCCCTGATATTGTCGCTATCACGGAAACATGGCTACATTCTGGCATTTCCGATAAGAAAATTGTGCCTCCCGGATGTCTGATAGTGTGCAAAGACAGGGAATCACGTGGTGGGGGTGTTGCGCTTCTTTTCAAGGAAGGTGTCCATTTTTCAACTATGCCAGACGTTGAAAATGTTGAAGCTTTGTGGTGCAATGTGCACCTACAACACAGGATCGCTAAAGTGGGCATGTTCTACCAGCCCCCCAATGCCGATTGTACATATCTTGAATCTCTATTAGATTACACATGTATTCGAATTTGCACGGGGGCTTGATTGTACTAGCCGGGGACTTTAATCTTCCTGACATTGATTGGTGTTCTCTTGTACCTGAATCTAAACCTCAAAGCATCCTATTAGATCTCATGTTTGACTTCAATCTCGAGCAGGTTGTTTCATTCCCAACTCGAGTACGGGGGTCGTCTTCTTCATTCTTGGACCTTATTTTTATAAGTAACAGCCTTCCTACAAATGAATCTCGAGTAGACGTATTCGTTGTATTATCCGATCACAAAATGATATTATGCACATTGCCCTTTATTAGCCCACCGAAATTACATGGCCAATTAAAAGAAATACCCGCATTTAACAAGGCCAATGATGCGGCTATAATGACGTACCTTGTACACGAATACACTGAATTTTTTTACCTTTGTTCTGATGCTTGCTCTAGCGTTGATGCAGTCTGGCTGAAATTCAAATTCCACGTCATGCATTGTATGCGGAACTTTGTCCCAATGGTTTTTAAATCAACTCAAAAACACAATCCGTGGATCACACGTGAAATAATCCATACTAAACGCAAAATCAAGAGGTTGCGTAAAACTAACAAAAACCGGAATGTTCCAGGCTACCGTTCTATACTAAACTCACTTACTAGATCACTTAAGGACCAGGTGCGTAACGCAAAACAGAAGTTCTGCGGGTCCACATTAAGTGAGTTTATTAAAAACTCTCCCCACAAATCCTGGAAATATATGAACACAAAAATGACTAATCGACCTTCATCAGACGGTCAAGACCAAGCAAGAGCTGACGATTTCAACTGTTATTTTCGTTCAGTTTTTACAGTCGATAATAGCCCTGTGAACATGAATGCTTCTTTTTATAATCAGGATATCCAATTATTAGGCACGCCTTCTTTATCAGAGGCTGGCATTATGTCACAGCTTCTAGGCATCAATGAAAAAAAAGTAGCGGTCCAGACGGAATCCCAAATGGCTTCCTTAAACGATATGCAGAACCAGTCAGTAAATGTGTTTATTTAATATACTCCAAATCACTGGCAGATGGCTGCATCCAAGCTGAATGGAAAATTGCCAAAATTACTTCAATATTTAAATCAGGTAATGCCGCTAGTACTTCTAATTATAGGCCTATTTCAATCACCTGCACTAGTAGCAAAATTTATGAACATATTGTGTTAAAATTTCTAATTAGCTTTATTGAATCAAACAACATTCTGCATTGCAACCAGCATGGCTTTAGATCAGGACTATCTACAGTTACACAGCTCGTCAAAACACTTCATAACCTGTCTCTCGGCATAAATGAACGTATTCAAACTGATGTAATTTTTCTCGACTTCTCGAAGGCATTCGACCGCGTCTCGCACCCTAAACTACAACTTAAGCTTAATCACTTGTTAGGCGATGGCCCCATCTTTCAATGGATAACTAATTACTTAACTGACCGTCACCAATACGTACATCATGGCATCCACACTTCTGACCTAGCTCCGGTGTTGTCAGGCGTCCCGCAGGGGTCTGTACTAGCTCCAGTGTTGTTCCTAATATATATAAATGATATAACTAACTACGCTGACGTTAAACTCAGACTCTTTGCAGACGACTGTATGCTCTACAATGAAAAACGCCATCACGATGATCAGGTGAAGTTGAGTAATTCAATAAACAAAATAGCTCAGTGGTGTGCTGATTGGCAAATGACTATAAACATTGACAAAACTGTATTTATGTCTATTACCAACAAGGTA